CAGTTGCATTTCTCTACTACTAAACATTTATTTTTATAAAAACAGGGACTCCAGATATTACATTCACAGTTGTATCTTTAGAGCCTAACATGGTAAAAGGCATTAAAAAGAATGCATAATAGAGTTTACATAAGTTGGATAACCGAACTGTACCATCCATCCCATGTAATACATACTCAGCAACAATACAGAACAAATGATACATACAAAATCATAAATAAATCTCCAAGATTGCAAGTGGTATGATATTATTTATAAAACATTCTTTAAGTGACACAATATAGTGATGGAATTAGATTATTATCTGGGAAATTGGCGTATCCTATTCCCCACTGAATGCTGGGGAGAATTTTCTGAGACTAGCACAAGAGAATGAGTGATTTTCATTTGTGTGGAACTACATCTCTGTCTTTTTAAAGTCCCATTCCAGTCATAGAAATGGAGCTGGGGTTTCACTGGAGGTAGAAGCAAAACCAGTGTCCCGAGTTTTCTTTCCATCTCGCAGTTGGGTCCAGTTCAACATCAGGCTAGTTACAGTCCATTAGTCCATTGCATTTGGCATCCACATGACCGTGGACCATGTGGGAAAATTCAGTGGAACCCAGAGAGTATACCCTCTGAAACAAGAGTCCCAAGACAGCCAAGAACACAAGAGCACAAAAGAAAAAACCTTTGTTCAGGGGTTTAAGTATCCCAAATTTCTCACTTCTGCAGTGGCCACGCCCATTCTCGCCAAGAACCTTTTCCAAGTACCTTCCCAATGTCACCTCAACTTTACAGGGCATGCTTCTATTCTCCTCTCTTTCCAGTCCCTTCTCCCAACAATCTCCTGGAATAAAGTGGTGGCTCCCTGTGGAAGGTAAATCTGTAGCTTCCTGGTGAAGCTGATCCAAATGACATGCCTATCATAGTTGGTCTTCCCTTTGCTCCTTGTTATTAATAATTAGGTTAATTACAGCACTATCAAGATTAGTGATTGCCAGGATTCAGAAAAAATTGGAGAGGAGTAGTAGGAAGTAGGCATAGTATAGTGTAAATCCTGGATTTTTTTTTTCTTTTTTCTAAACAATTACCTGATTTAACCTTTGATTGCCCCAAGCCTATGTTCTCTTCTTTGTCTTCCCTTTTCTCCCTCCTCTCCTGTCTCCTCTACTCCCCTCCCCTTACCTTCGATTATCTTCTCTTCTCCTCTTTCCTTCTCTTCCCTCCCTTTTCTTCCCCTCTACTTCTTTCCCGTTCCCTTTCTTTCTCTCCCTACCCTTCCCTTTTCCCACCTTCCCAGAACTTACTGTATGGCCCAGGTATGCTGTGTAATTTCCAGGTTTTGTAAAAAATAAATCTTTATCTTTTCAAAGTTTCCTGGAAGTTATTGTTGAAGGATGTCTCGAAATCAATCATAAAAACGACAAGGGCTAGTTCAGCCACAACACTGATTATTAATAGGCTGAGACCACTACAAACATGAGCTTATAAAGGGTAGCCAGAGGGTACTTTGTGGTGATGGAATAGATCTGTATTGGAGTGTGTTTGTACAAAATGGAATTACTGAAATGGTTCATGAAGTTGTAAAATAAAAAAATTTTAAAAATTAGCAAAAGAGAAGTGTTGAACACTCACAATGAAATGAGAAATAACAGTAACTAGTTTCTGTTCCCAAGGTAAATAAAAACAAACACTACATTGTAACAAAGTGAGTACTGTCTCTCTCTGATACAGTCTCATTCAAGCCTGCTTTGTTCCCATGGTCTTCAGGTGAATACCTCCTGCTTTGTCTTGCATACAGACATGATAATAATTAGAGGAATCCTGTTTGAGGCTTTAGTTTTCCAAAAACAGCTGGTTTTATCTTCTCTTTCTTGACATAAAATAAGCCTGAACCCTGTACTTTCTTAAGTTGGATCTGGACTCCTATATGCTCAGTGACACCTTCTCAAGCAATAAAACATCCTTACTCCAAACTCTGATGCTTTGAGTTGTGGCCTTTAGAAGTGTCAGGCACATAGACTTTAGCAATAACGTGAGCAATAAATCAAGAAAGCAATGTACTATTTTAATTCCCTAAAAGTTTTAAAACAGTAGAACAGTATCTAAACATTTCTACACCACACTGTCACTCATTCAAGGAGACCACTGTGTAAATGCAGACTCTTGATGGGCATGTCTATAGATACAATATTGTGGTCAAGAGTCCTGTGTGCTACAAAAGGAAAGTTATCCAAGAGTGGAAAATGGAAGGAAGGAAGGAAGGAAGGAAGGAAGGAAGGAAGGAAGGAAGGAAGGAAGGAAGGAAGGAAGGGAAGGGAAGGGAAGGGAAGGGAAGGGAAGGGAAGGGAAGGGAAGGGAAGGGAAGGGAAGGGAAGGGAAGGGAAGGGAAGGGAAGGGAAGGGAAGGGAAGGGAAGGGAAGGGAAGGGAAGGGAGGAAAGAAAATCATGGGGAATGTAAATTATCCATGACAATTAAAGGACAACCTCCAGGCATTTAATTGTGCTATTAAATATTGTAGGGACAATCAACAAATTGCTTGGCATCTCCTCAGGGACAGCATCAAAAGGTGAAAAAAATCCATAAATTGTTCTCACTCAGCCATGTAAGAAACACATGAGGGAGTCAAGAGAGAGGCTTCATTGAAGGTAAAAGGATAGAACATTTCATGTGGTGTTTTATGTTACCAATATTGACGCTGCTTCAGTGATACATCCAAAGTTTCACTTTAATTAAATGACAAAGCTCTAGCAAAATGTTTGCAATTCTGATTTAGTTCTTTTTGCTTTCCACTTCTCCTTAATACCTGAGCTCGAAGGGGACCCCTCCTCATCTCAGCATACTAATGTTTTTGAGTATTTTCACATGAGTTGACAGACTAAATATTCAAAAGCATCTTTGAGATACCATCATAGTATTGCTTATAAAAGGTTTATTTTATATAAGTAATTATATCTGTAATACAGGCCAAAACAGTGCAAATGAAGCCTAACTAAAAAGACATAAAATTTTAAAAATCTGCAGTTACAAAGCTGCAGATATTCAATCTATCATTTTTTAAAAATCAATCATTTTAATGTCCTTTGAAATTTTAGTTCATTAGTGGTTCTAGGCTCTTTTTTGTGACACTCTAGATGTAATCTAAACTTTAATAATTATTTAAATAAATGTATAAAATTGATTTTTCCCCCTCATGTTGAGATGTGAAAAGCATTATGTGGATATTAGAAGACTTTTAAGTACCCAGTTTTATAATAATATCAAAATATTCAGCATGTTTTTTCATTTTAAGTGGAATCTGATAGAAAGCTATAATTACCTCAAACAGTATAAGTTAAAAAAAAAAAGTAACCACAGAACTTATATGTATGTATGCATGAACAATGGACATGGACAACAAAGCTGTGGACAGGGCGGGGAGGGAGAGGGAGTGGGGAATCAGTGGGGGGGGGGGGGAGGAGAAACATCTGTAACAAAAATAAGTGAATAAATAAATAAATAAAAAGTAAGTTGGTATTTAACAAAGATGTGAACTATGAAAAAGCAATTTGGTTCTTTCCATACAACATTAGAGCCTGTGAGAATAAAAGTCTCAAACACTTTTATCTTTTCTTAGAGCACAGAAAAATTGGAACTTACGAAATATAATTTCTTTCCTTTTTTCATATTGGCAAAAAGAAACAAAACACACAAAAATAAGATTTATGTCACTTCTTACTAAATTTACTGAGGATATCTTTCTGAAATGACTGTTTACTGATCCACATGTCCATCTTTCTGACATGAGGAAGGTGTGTTCATCACAGCAGGGTATACTCACGGAAGTGACAGAATCATAAACAGCATTTTAAATTATTTCAATGCAAACTTAATGTAATTACTTTATATTTAATGTTATAAAGTTACAGTTTTATTTTTTAGACCACTCAGAAACTGCTGTCACTGTAATTTTTATTGTAACCAGTATTATTTCTGGTTTTTAAAGGTAGCATTCATGCTCACAATGTTTTACATCTAATAATTTTTTACCTTAATCTGCCACTCAGCACTCACCTGGTATATCCTTAATCTGTGTATTATTAGGAGCATTCAGATACATTTTTATTTGATTATATAAAATACTTAGGTGTGTTTTATATTATATCGTAGTTTGAAGGCATTCCTGTGGCCTTAAGGTGTAGAGGAATTTAAAGTAATATCCAAGAATCCATGGATGTGTCACCTTTAGTGTATTTTATTTCACCTCTATAGTACTGGGTAACATAGTGACTTTAAACTATTATGCTCGATGCACAGGCCTTTAAACTTTCATTAAAGAGTATAATATCTCTTTATCCAAAAAACATTTTATAAAACTTCATTATATGAAAGCAATGCCAATACTTTCCTACAGGCTTGTGGAGAGATAAACAAAGATTAAATGATCCAAAGTATTGGATTTGTATATGAGAACAATGAGTTTTGATTAAGTTAAATCGTTGGCCAAATTCTTGTATGTAACTTAAATGAAGATATAACTGACATTATAAAATTTCTGTCCATTGTATGAACTGTTTCACTGTTTCAGCCTGTGTCACCTATAGGCATAAGAAAGTTTGCAGGACCAAGTGCTGAAGTAGTAGGTTCTACACATTGTTGGAATTTATAATTTAAAATTATTATATTTTGGATTAGATATTGGATATTGTAGGATATTTAAAAGCATAACTAACTTCTAACCCTACACACCAGTCACACCCTTCCTCTGAGTTGTGACAACCATAGTGTCTTCTAGATATTGACCAATGCTCATTGCTCAGTAAAATCCCCTCCAGTTGAGAACCACTGGCTGTCTCAAGCTCTATTTATGAATATTATTTTTGTAGACATAAGTTACTTTTCATATATTTTAAATGGTAAATTTGGATGTATCTTATTTATATTAGCGTTGCAGACTAAAAATCTCACAGGTAGAATACATGAAACCTATTGACTATGCTGATGTCTCTTTCCAGAATAGGTTTCCTGAAAAACCTGCATGGAAACACAAAACCTAACAGTGTTAAACGAGTTCATTCTCATGGGGATCACAGACCGCCCTGATCTGCAAGCTCCATTATTTGGACTCTTCTTGATCATCTACATGATCTCAGTGGTGGGCAACTTGGGCATAATCATCCTCACCAAGGTGGACTCCGGCCTCCAGACACCCATGTACTTCTTTCTCAGACACCTGGCTTTCACTGATCTTGGTTATTCAACAACTGTAGGGCCCAAAATGTTAGTAAATTTTGTTGTGGATCAAAATACAATCTCCTATTATTTCTGTGCTCTACAACTAGCTTTTTTTCTTGTGTTTATTGATGGTGAAATTTTTATTCTATCTGTCATGTCCTATGACCGCTATGTGGCCATCTGTAACCCTTTGCTCTACCCAGTCATCATGACACAAAGGCTATGCCAGCTGCTGGTGGCTGTCTCCTATCTCCACAGCACATTTGTTTCTCTTCTAATCACCATAAAAATCTTTCGCTCATCTTTCTGCGGCTATAATGTTGTCAGTCATTTCTACTGTGACACTCTCCCCTTGTTACCTTTGCTCTGTTCAAATATGCAGGAAATTGAATTGATTATTCTGATTTTAGCCAGTTTTGATTTGATTTCATCCTTTCTGATAGTCGTTGTGTCTTACCTCCTCATTCTTGAATCCATTCTGAGGATGAACTCTGCTGAGGGTCGGCACAAGGCTTTTTCTACCTGTGGATCCCACCTGATGGTGGTCGTAATATTTTATGGGACGTTGATATTTATGTATGTGCAACCTGAGTCCAGTCATTCCTTGGACAGTGATAAAGTGGCTTCCATAATTTACACCCTCGTTATTCCCATGTTGAATCCCTTGATCTATAGCTTGAGGAACAAAGATGTAAAATGTGCACTACAAAGAGTCTGGGAAAATCCATGTAATACTTTTTTCCTTAAGGTTTACACATTATAAGATTTGTATAAGCTAGGGTATGGGCTTTAAATCATGCTGTATGTGCCTCCACAAGAGAAATAGCAAGCAGAGATGAGGTCAATAGGTATTCATCAACTGTCTTATAGATGCTCAGCACTTCTAATTTCCGTAAATAGATTAATGAACAAAATAATAAAAGTATTTTCTTTTCTTGAGGGGAAAGATAGATTATACACTTCAATTACATAATTGTTATAGCATAGTAGAATGTGTTAGGTGAATAGAAGGAAAATCCTGTCAAGGATTCTGATGTTGCATCTATAAGAATAAAATCACAGCGTGTTTATGTGTGAGTGTGAGTGTGTTTGAGTCTGTGTGTGTGTGTGTGTGTGTGTCTTTTTCTTTGGTTTTTACCCTTAATACTCTTCCTGATATGTTTTAGAATTTCACTTGTTAATGGCTGTGTCTATGATATCTAATGTTTTGACATACCAGTCATATTACTTTCCTCAAATACCCTGTCCGAATGTTGGGGTTCCACTTTTTCCTCGTCATTGGCTCCCTTCCATATTTGAGTCTATTAACTGAACATGGTTTGCAATTCGGCAATCCAGAGCTTCTGATTGGCACCTAATTTTGTCTTAATTAGTCCATTTTGTTGATATCAGATGATACTCAAGTTGAGAGAAATTTCTGAGGCCACCTAGAAGCTTTTAGGTTTGTACTGTTTTCCCTCCCAAATAGTTGTACTTAATAACTGATTGTTTGATGTTTGAGATTGTAGCATTTTCTTATCTCTGACTTAAAAAAAAAACTAATTTTCCACATTTAAAAGTTGTTTTTTGTATCCTTGGGTAAGAGGACTATCCCATGATAAATTAACTGTACTATCTCTCTTTTCTCAGGTCATTTCCCAGTTTTTATCAATATTGATTATGCACTTTGTTTTAACAGACTTCATTGTTTAACATTGATCATCGTAATTGTGGGAAGCAAAGGGAAAGAATCCTGTTGCTCACACAATGCCATATTTCTAATGTAAGTGAATCCTGATACATGCCAAGGACATAGTTATCTTGCCTTTGTATATAGTTGTTCCAAATCACTCTCTACATTTTCCTATGAGCTTACTTTTATTTTTTTACTTTTATTCTTCTTAACATTTCTGGGACATTATTAAAGCTATTTTTCTACAATATTTGCTTTGTTCACTATCATACAATTAAAATTGTGTTCAGCCAATGAAATAAAATGAAATAAAGTATTTCATTGGAATAAAATTTAGAAAGTGCATAATATAAAGCAACCAGGATGTCCTTCAGTAGGTAGAGGGACAAATAAACTATAGCACATCTGACAATGATATTTTATTCGACACTGTAAAGAAATGCACTATCAAGCATGAAAAAATGTAGTAAAACCTTAAATGCTTGCTACTAAGTGCAAAAAGTTAATCTGAAAAGGCTACATACTGCATGATTCCTACTATGTGACATTCTGTAAAGTGCACAACCATGGAGACAGTAAAAAGTTCAGTGGTTGCCAGGGGTTAGGACATAGGAAAGGATGGACAGGAGGAGCTTGGAGGATGTTTACGGTAGGGAAAATACTTTGTATGAAACTATCATTGTGGTTACAAGTCATTATATATTTGTTCAAACCCATAGAATGTACAGCACCAAGAGTAAACCAAATGTAAACTATGGAACTTGGGTGAAAATGATGTGCCAATGTAGACGCATGGGTTGTAATAAATATACTACTTTGTGAGGGGCTGTTGATAATGGAATGGGGGAGGATATGCATGTGTGAGTCAGAGAATATGTGGGAAATCTCTGCACCTTCTTCTCAATTTTGCTATGAACATAAAACTTCTCTGAAAAATAAAACACAATCTTATAATACAAAAAAGTACATGATACAATGTCATGTGAAGACAATTATCAAAGTGTTAATGTAGCCAACAGTAATCTTTAAGATAGTCATTATTACTACCAAGTAATAATATCTCAGACTCTTGAGCATTCTTCATGTCTTGATGAAGTTGATTATCACAAACAACTCTGTGAGATACGTTCTATTAAAAAATCTGTTTTTTAGATTAGAGAAAGGTGATTCAGAGAGACTGAGTAAATGGTCAGAGTCCACCAAGGTATTAGGTGTTAGAATCAGATTTCAAACCAGATAGTCAAGGTAATGCTTAAGACTTTGTACTCTTAACAAGGTCCCTAAGTTGTTTCTAAATATAATTTGTATACTTCACTACTATAATCCAGAGATGACAGGGAGTAAAGCTTCACTTTGTCAGATGCAGGATAGAAGAGGAGATATAGCAGAAACATTAGAACAACAGTGAAAGTCATGTCTGGTACAGAAAATAAACTCAAGAAAGATATAACTGTTCAATTATATATAAAGAAACAAATTCACATACATATAAATTATTCAGTCCTCTTTTAATGAGTGATTTTAGTAAAATAGAAAGTCAAAACAAAGTGAAGGCAGGGCATAGTGTGAGAAATAAAGATTAAGGAGAAGCAGTATTCCAAAAAAACCCAAATGTCCATTGCTAATGATTTGCAGAAGGAATTCTTCCAGGGAAAATATTAGATAAGTGTTCTTTCAAAAAAAGAAAGGAGGGGGTCTATGAGGGAAATATTTATTCTCTATTACCTTCTGCTTCTCAGACTTTTAAGAACCTTTCTATGAGCACTTCATCCATTTGGAAAATTACTGTAAATGCAGTAGAATACATTGACTCTGATATTGTTGAGCTACTGAACCAAGATATGCCATGAGGGACAACATGTGATTATTTTCTATTTTAAATTAAGCCCTCTTTTTTGCGGCAGTGTTTGTTTTTTTACCTCTTACATGCATGAGAGAAAATATCCTTAAATGATACAATGAAAAACAGTGGAGCAGTTGTGAAGGTTGAACACCATGTTATTTTAGGGTGTGCCATTCACATGGACAAAGATGTGAAAAACCCCTCCCCAAAGACATGTAATTTATAGAGCATTGTCTTGATTCTTGTACACACTCAATGAATGCCCATCCACAGTGATAAGACTGATAAAAGGAAGAACAGACTTCTCAGGAATATGTGTCAACCCTATGAGGGTAAACTTCACTAATCAACATCTAGAGTTTGTCATTGAAAGAGCTCCTGAAATACAAGAGAGAGAGGATACTAATTGAGAAGTATGAGTATGAAAATTAAATATCATCTTTAGAATAAGGAATGATCTGTGATTCAGTGAATCTTTAATTATTCACAATAATCATAATATTACCAAGTGTCAAATTACATATGCATATGGTTTCTTCTTTTTTTATTCTCACCCGAGGACATTTTTGCATGTATCTTTAGATAGAGTGGGAGGGAAAGAGGAAGGAAGAGAGAGAGAGAAACATCGATGTGAGAGAGACACATCGACGTGAGAGAGACACATCGACTGGTTGCCACCCACACGACCCCAACAGGTGCCGGGGACAAATTGCAACCTAGGTACATTCTCTTAGCGGGAACCGAACACTGGACTCTCTGGTTTGTGGGACAACACTCTAACTGCTGAGCCAAACTGGCCAGGGCTGCATATGGTTTCTTATTGGAGAAAGGAATCATTGTAGTCCCTGGAGAATATCTCTGTCATCTCTAACTCTATCTCTATCTCTGTCTCTGTCTGTGTCTCTATCATCTATCTCTATCTTTGTCTCCATCATCTATATCTATTATCTGTCTATCTCTATATCATCTATAGCTCTCTATTTCTATATCTATAGATTCCCTGGTGAAGTAACCACTGGAGAGCTTAAAAGAAATGCTATGAGGTAGAGAGGTCTCAGAAGTCAGGTAACAGGAGGAGCTATATTCTAATGTCTAGTGTGTGAGTGGTACACGCTGAAACAGTGAGGTCCATGCCCTTCACAAAGCCACCTGGTGTTTCTCCCAATCCCTGTTGTGTCAGAGTTGAGACAAAGTTTACAGTCAATCTTGCCTTTATTAGCTCCTTGATGATAAGTATTAAAATATTTTTATATTATTCTTTTTTTTTTCTTTTTTGGTACGTGCCCCGAGAGGGAACTGAACCTGGGACTCTTTAGTCCACTAAGCCAAACTGGCCAGGGCTTATGTTATTCTTTAAATCACAAGTTTGTATGACATAAAACATGAGATAATAGCAAGATATATGATGCAGTGTATCTGTCTATTTATGTGATTCATAGCTCAATATATTAGTTTATACTTCAGAGTAATGGAAATCGGTCAATCATAGAGTAGAAAAGTAAAATTCAGTATTTATTCTGTCATAGAAAATGTTGACATTTAAAGAATTTACCTCTTCATGGAATTATTTCTTAGCTATCACAGTCAACTTTAATTCTATAGAAATGATAAAATCATTTTTAAAAATTGATTTAGAAGTAGAACAATACAGAAATTTCTTTCAAGGCTTTAGTTTATTATTCATTAAATTTTATATATTTTGTGTAGCCGTAAAACATTTAATACCTATTGAATAAATGTGGTCTCTATCTCTTGTATAGGTGATTATACATAGATTAAACTCCTTATTTCATATCTAGTAACAGTCACATAAATTGATTTTTTCCTTGTTGTTAGTTTTAATTTTAATTGTATAGAAACATTCACAAATTATATATGAGGTTTATCTTAGAAATACAATCCCACCTCAGCATTCAAATACCATTAATATAATTTATCACATCAACAGAATTAAGAAGAAAAACTATGGATTTATCAATTGATATGGGAAAAGCATTTAATGAAATTCAGTATCAACTTATAGTACATAAGTAAACTTTCAGCAATCTAAAAATGAAAAGAAACTTCCTAAAAATTGACAAAAGGCATCTACAATAAAACTTACTGTGAACACCATATTTAACCATGAAAAAATGAATGCCTTCTCACTAAGACTGAAAGAAGAGAAGACTTTGTTTTCTCACCACAACTATCATATATCATAATGGAGATCCCAGCCTATGCAATAAGATGAGAGGAATAAATATAAGACATAAAAAATTTTTTTTAAATAAATAAAATGGTCTCTATTTGAAGATGATACAATCATTTGTGTAGAAAGGGAATCAGCACAAGTTACTATAACTAATAATTGAATATAATAAAGTCACTGTAGGGCAGGCCAACACACAGAATTCCATTACACTTCAGTATATAAGCAATAAACAGTCGGAAGTTTGAATAAATATATAATTTATTACTCTAAAAAAACAAAAAAAAACGTGAAATATATATAAAGCTTAAAGTTTACTCCTTGGTTACCAGTTTATTACAAAGGATATCAAAGAAAATGAATCAACAACCAGATGAAGAGATACATAACATTAGTTCCAAGTGCAAGAGCTTCTGTCCTTGAATTTGAGGGCCAGCAGGGTGGCACATGGAAGCATACCCCTCCTTGTGGGTTTTTATGGAGGCCTCATTACATAGGCATGATTGATGAAATCATTGGCCACTGGTGATTGATTCAAACTCCAGCTCTCTCCCCTCCCTGGAAATCAAGGGGTGACACTAAAAGTTCTGACCACCAATTCATGGTTGGTTCCCCTGGCCACCAGCCCCCATATATATGGCCTTTCCAAAAGCCACCTCATTAACATAAGACAAGACACTTTCAAGGCTCTCCTCAGTTAGGAAAGTCCACCCAAGCTTACTGTGTGTGTTAATGAGTTAATTGTTTTACATATCCATGACCTAAGGACCAGCCCTACACACTTCCTCTTAGGGCCACACTATGCAGCAAAAGATTTGCAGTAGCCACATAACAATCATATGCCATTACCGACAGCAAGAAATCGTCTGTGGTAACAAACACCCCAGAACACAAATGTTATACCATGCAAGCGAAAAAAGACATGGCTCCCTTCACACCGGGACTTTTATCAGCATTTTGGGTGATAAAAAGATTCTAAGAACTATGCCAGGACTAAGACCAAATATATGTTTCTTATTATAAATTTCAATGTCATAACCACTCTTTAGACCAATTGAACTGTAAGTCAGTGAAAGCAAATGTAATAGAATATACATGTTCTTGGAAATCTGAGAACCAATTACTTTTTTCTTTGTAAGTACCCTATTTTTATGTCATTAAATGCAAGTATTATTCTATAATTGTTTTCTCCAAATAACAGAAAAATATAAATGTAATATTGAATTTTGTATTGATTTAGAGAATAACAACCTGGAATATCGGGAAGACCTGTGAGATAGGCTATCGATTCTGCGATGCAGCTACATGGATTAAACAACTTTCCCTTTCTGGCCACCTCCTCACGTGACAAACAAGGGTATAGAATAGAAAACTGTGCAGGTGGGTGCTTAGGGAAGCGGTGGTCCACTTTGTAGAGTGCACAATTTTCCAGGCACTTTGTTGTACATCTGAAATTTGCGCAGAATGGTATTGAAGGTGTATTATGTTTGAAAAAAATTTTTAAAAACTACAAGAAAAAAATAAAATTAAATAAAACTCTGTACATCCTCAGAAGCTTTACATTCACAGAATTTTTAAAAATGAGAACCAACTGGTACAATGTGGTAGGATTTACAATGACTTTAAACTAACAGGGGCCAGTTGGTCTGGCTCAGTGGTTGAGCATCAACCCATGCACCAAAAGGTCACCAGTTTGATTCCCAGTTGGAGCACATGCCCAGGTTGTAGGCCCAATCCCCAGTAGGGAGCATGCAGGAGGTGACCAATCAATGTTCTCTCTCATTAATGTTTCCATCTCTCTCTCTTCCTCTCCCTTCCTCTCTCTCTAAAATCAATAAAGAAAAAAATATTTTTAAAACACTAACAGGAAAAATGTTTAATTTCCACGGCCCTTTTTACAGCATCTTTTACCTCTTTGTTTCTCAGACTGTAAATCAGTGGGTTTAACATGGGAATCACTAGTGTGTAGAACACAGAAACTACCTTCCCCTGTTCCACAGAATACTGAGAGCTTGGCTGAATATAACTAAAGCTTAGGGTACCATAGAATATGGTCACAGCAGTCAGGTGAGAAGCACAGGTGGAGAAGGCTTTCTGCCTGCCTGCCGCTGAGCGGATCCTCAGGACAGCGAGAACAATGAAAATGTAGGAAATCATCACGGCCAAGAAGGTAGCCACAACAATGACTCCAGAGAAGATTAAGAGCAACAACTCATTCATGGAGGTTTCAGAACATGACAGCTTTAGAAGTGAAGGAATATCACAGAAAAAGTGGCTGACAACATTCAGCCTACAGAAGGACAGTCTGCTTAAGCTTACTGTATGTGTTAATGAGTTAATCATTCCACACGTCCATGACCCAATGACCAGCCCTACACACCTGCTCTTAGACATGACCACGCTGTAAAGCAAAGGATTTGTAATAGCCACAAAACGATCATATGCCATTACTGACAGCAAACAACCTTCTGTGGTAACAAATACCCCAAAACACAAATGCTGTACCACGCAAGCGGAAAAAGAGATGGTTGCCTTCACAACCAGGAGATTTATCAGCATTTTGGGAGCAATGGCAGACGCATAGCAGACATCTACAAAAGAAAGGCAGCTGAGGAAAAAGTACATAGGTGTGTGGATCTTGGGAGTGATTCGGATTAAGAAGATCATGCTCAGATTTCCCACCAAGGTAATGACATAAATCACCAGGAACAATACAAAAAGTACGATTTTCAGTTCAGTGTGGCCTGTCAATCCCAGAAGAATAAACTCAGTCACAACTGTAAAATTCTTTTCAGTCATCTGTTTGTTTCTTTTCACAAGATCTGTTGAGAAAAAAAGATACAGAGATTACATTAGGAAAATTACATATAAGTATGAACACAGATACTACCATTATTGATGTCAGTCTTTGAATAAAAAACATATCCCTTCTTTGAAGCTGAGATTTTTCATCAATAAAACTAGCAAGTGGACTCGGTGGTCTCTAATTTCATTCCAGTGATGTTGTTTTATATGATTATATTTCATAGAAACCAAAACGTCAGAAGTTTGTCTCTCACAGCTCAGTCTGCCTCTGAAATGCCCACTTCAATTCCAAAGTTATACTGGCCCTAAGAAGACACTAATGATGATGGAAACTAATAGCATGTAAAACTTATACCATTAGACAAGTAGTCATTCTATGATATTCTCTTCTTATTTATTTGTTGGTCTATTTTTAGGTATGAAATTATTTAATGAGAAGGGTCTGTAAAATTCTATTTATTTTGAAGTTATATGTGGCAATGAACTACAGGGACATTATTATAGACAGCAAAGTGGCCACATCATGAAGTAAGAATGCTCAGGTACTTAGAGTGATGATTTTAACAAAAGTCAAGGATTCTGGCTTTTGTGACTGTGGGAGGCATTGGGTGCCAGCACCTAACTCTGAATCTTATGAAGCAAAAACCTGTCTCTTGCATGATACCTATTAAAAGTAGCCATGAGTCTTGATTCAGGATAATTTTCCCCATGTTTATGGTAGAAGATTATCCTTGAGAGGTCATTAACTTTGACACCTAGAACACAGAATCCCATATCTTATATATCTGGATCATATGGAAGCTTTCAGCTTTTCCTGAGATCTCAAATTATTTTAGAAAATTTTAAAAACACACTATTTCAGAATATGAATATATGTGTATGTATATTTAACAAATGCTCTATGATACTTCTTCATATTTTCCATCCTATAATAGATAGTTTAAACAATTTAAGTCTTTCTAAAAATATAATTTCCATTGGATGGTTAAATACCTATACTTTATATTCAAAACTGTTCATATTTGTTTTAGAATTTACTGTTTCTTATTTTCTATTAAATTGTCATTTTAGAAATTATAATAAACAAATATTAATGATTTGGGTTTATCTGTGATTTATACCATTTATCTATTGTAATTAAAACACTTTAGTTGCCACAATGATAAGGTAGGAATCCATTTATCTTGGGTCAAATCCTATTGTTGACAACAATTGGTTTTATTTCATTGAACAGGTTACTTAACTTCCCAGATCCAGGGTGTAATTATATTAAGATTGCTGAGGGGACTGAAGAAAACAACACTAATAAAGTCATTACTGTCCTTTGAGTATAAATTAAACACTTAACAAACTAGATACATAGTTGCATAGCTATATGAAATACAGCTAGATAGAATAGTAATATACATTTAGCATCTGATATCTTTTGGTACATGGTGATCAGTATTAAACTTTAAAATCATTGCTATTGAACAATTCCTTTTTGGAGTATTTCTGAAATACTTAAGCGCTATTTAGTTTTATTTATTTGTTTTAATAATCAAACATATCAAAGTTATTACCTACAAACTAGCCTTGTTAAATGTGAGATAAAGAAAATAAATACCTATGTTTTTTTTCATGATATCTTATATGCTCTTTACAGATTACAACAGACCTGACAATATCGAAGAACACATTTAATATTCAAAATTGCATTTTTTACTCGTAGATCTATCTCACACATGCTCTTCCTTCTACTACTCTTAAAGACTTAACTGAAAACTTTTTGTTAATAAAATATCACTTATAGATATGTATTTTATTATATACTATAATTTAGGAAATAGCATATTTAAAAGGTATTAGAAATTAAATTAACGATCCAAATATAAAACTAATAACTTTAACAGAAAATTTTGATGGCAACATTGTAAACTGAATTATAAAATAAGATATGGACTTAAATTACATGAACTTTAAGAATCAAAATATTGATAGGATTCTACCACACTTGAAATTTTCAATTATTAGTCGAATGAATGCTAAATATAAAAATTGAAAGAAACAAAAAGACATTAAAAAGAATGCATTTAACTTACCAGATATTAAAAAGTTTAGAATATTAGTTTCTTTAGAATGCTCATATCTATCTTCAAGTTTTCTTACTCTCTTCTTAGAAATAAAATTAGTTAATATATTTTTCTGAGATTTAGAATAATCAATATTTTAATGGTAGATAACTGATTCACTTCAGTATATATATATATGTATATGTATATATGTCAAGTAAAACAACACAAACAAATGAAATTTTAAAAAAATAAACAAACAGTGGCGTTACATCTGTAATTCTTTCCTCAATGAAGACAGATTTGAAAGAAGATCAAGTATATATATATTTTATTCTAATGAGACCAGAATCCCTATGGTTTAGACACTTATTATACTAAAAAAAACAACAACAAAATTACACTCTAGATTGGATTCTGGTTTCTCAAGAGACTCTCTAAGTTACCTCAATAGAATTGGTTTCTCTAAGATGTGTAGTATAAAAAATGTTACAAAGCATAGAAGGCAATATACAGTCAAGGGTGAGAAAGCAGTAGAAATATTGGTTGTAAATATACAAAATTAGATAGTATTTTATTAAGGTATAATATAGACTAGGCCTGGCCTTGTGAGGCAAAAATGCATTAAGTGAAATCCAGTTTGATAATGGCTGTTATTTCTAAAATGTTGGGAAGTAACACCCTGCCTCCTTTATCCACACACTTCTGTTCAGATTCCAATTCTGCATTCTATCTAACTGGTAAAATGACCATGTGTTACTCCTATTAGATATTACATTTAGTTCTAATATTCTCATTTATTTAATGAATAATTCTTGAAGAACAGGACAAGCTAGACAGTGTATTCAGCACGAGAAAGAGAAAGATTTCAAAAACAAGCAAACAATCAAAATGGTTAGACTTTTATTTCTAGCATATGGAAGACTAGATAGAGCTTTACCTTCCTCAATAAAACATATATTAAAAAGAATACATTGAAATAGTGACTATAAAAATAAAACATATTATAATAATTGTAGATAACACATAAATAAATAAATAGTTTTTCACAAAAGGAAGAAAATCAGAAGTAAACATAGACACTGACACCATGACTCTCACAGGGGCATTTGCAAAACTTTGTGAGATTCAAATTGTTTTAAAAAAACAAACAAAAACAAAACAAACTTAAGCCTTTGGGCCCAGAAGCAACACAGAATTCCACTAAAACCTGTATATAAATTTAGTTTCTGAAAAACTGGCATTCTCATTAAAATCCTAACTAAATAAATCTGCTTATCAGCAAACATTATAAATAAAGTTGCCCACCATGATATGGCATCTTGTTAAAAAAATAAATAATAATAATAATAATAATAAGAAGAAGAAGAAGAAGAAGAAGAGGAAGAAGAAGAAGAAGAAGAAGAAGAAGAAGAAGAAGAAGAAGAAGAAGAAGAAGAAGAAGAAGAAGAAGAAGAAGAAGATAGAGGAGGAGGAAGAGGAGGAGGAGAAAGAGAATTGTCCCTCACATTTTCTCGCTAGGGAATGTGTAGGGTGTCCTGGGTAATTCGCAGGCAGCACAAGGAGAAGAAAGAAGAAGGAGGGGAGGAAGGAGAGGGTGAAAGGGAGAAGAAGAAGAACAAGAAGGAGAGGCTTCATTCTTGAATCAGTAACCACAACCTTTCCTCACGTGGGTTGAAATTTGGATTTTGCTGTCTGCACAAGTAAGGAAGCTTCAAGCTAAAAAATTGACATACATTGGTCTAAATTAGTAGCACTGTGGCTACCAGAAGTGACCTTTCAGAAAAGTCACAGAGAAGGTTCTATTAAAGATGAACTTACCATCCAATTTCAAAACATAATGAGAAGGAACATCTCCATAATCAAGACTCGAGAAAGCAATAAATACATTTTAAATATTTAAAAGAATAAAAGTCAAATGAATAAAAGGAAAAAGGGCAAAATGGATAAGCCCTTTACCAAAAAGACCAGGGTTATAGGCTGACTTACTGACAATGATCTAAGTAAGGGATCAGGAAGAATGAATGAATAATGAATGAATGAATGAATGAATGAATACCTATGAAAAAATCTAGCTAGTCAAAAAGAAGCTGTGTCTTTATATGGGAAATAAACCTAGCCCACTGTTACAAGGGGATTGGGTCATAAGAAGTAACTATTTGAGGAAGAGATGTTGAAGCCAGCCACTAACACTTTTTTTAAGAATCCTACAGAAAACGAGGAGCAGTTTCTTATCCCTCCACAAGTGCCCACCACCAACTAACACCTGAGTCTACCCAGCTGGCAGCCAAATGAACCTAAACTGACCTCCAGAGCACAGTGGAACCATGGAACTCAAGTAAAAGAGGTGCTGCTGTTTGCCATTCGGAGCCCATTAGAAAGGGAAAGGTCCACCAATAAGGAAGATCCAGTGCCCAGACCAAACATGTACACATATAGGACTGACCAATCAGACTCTGCTAGATTGAAATTCCTTTGTGCCTTATAGTGCTCTTTCACATTCCTTACCTTAGGTAGCTTAGTTCCAAGACTATCCAATCAGAACCCCTGAATTAGAATTAATAAATATGTATAACTCCTCCTCATCTTAATTTTTGAATTTGGCTCAAGGCTGATTTGGGTTTTCTTCCAAGCTCCAGGTTGTCTGCCTCATTAAATAAACCCTTACCTTGCTTCATACTCAGTGCTTTGTTGATTGGCTTCACATCCCATTGGGCATACAAACTTGGATTCAACAACAAAGTTAAGTTGTTTATTTTTCCCCCGTCCCAATTCTCTTGGCAGTATTATTATTCAGTTTATCACCACTGATTCTGATATCAAGCATGGCTAACCTAGTTTCTGCCAAGTATGGGAAAAGTTGCTGTTATTAGCAAAAAATTTTAAATGAAACCCAAAACGAAAACATGAAGGAAGATGGGGAAAAAAGCTTTCTCATATTTC